TTTTACATTTTTTGGATTTTTCCCTTAGTATTTTATGAGGAAAATTTTCTTTATTTCCTTTAATTTTTAATTTCTGTGAGCACATAGTAGGTACATATATTTATGGGTTACATGAGATATTTTGATGCAGACACACAACGTGTAATAATCACGTCAGCCTAAAAGGGGCGTCCATCTCCTCAAGCATTTATCCTTTATGTTACAATCAAATTATACTTTTTTTTTTTTTTGAGACGGAGTCTCGCTCTGTCACCCAGGCTGGAGTGCAGTGGCCGGATCTCAGCTCACTGCAAGCTCCGCCTCCCGGGTTCACGCCATTCTCCTGCCTCAGCCTCCCGAGTAGCTGGGACTACAGGCGCCTGCCACCTCGCCCGGCTAAGTTTTTTTTTTGTATTTTTAGTAGAGACGGGGTTTCACTGTGTTAGCCAGGATGGTCTCGATCTCCTGACCTCGTGATCCGCCCGTCTCGGCCTCCTAAAGTGCTGGGATTACAGGCTTGAGCCACCGCGCCCGGCCAAATTATACTCTTTTAGGTTTTTTTAAATGTACAATTATTGACTATAGTCACCCTGTTGTGCTACTAAATACTAGATCTTATTAATTCCTTCTGACTATATTTTATATCCATTAACCATCCCTTCCTTCCCCCAACTCCCCCCACCCTTCCCGGTCTCTGGTAACCATCCTTCTACTCTCTCTCTCCATGAGTTTAATTGTTTTGATTTTTAGATCCCACAAATAGGTGAGAACACGCGAAGTTTGTCTTTCTGTGCCTGGCATGTTTCACTTAACATAATGACCTCTAGTTCCATCCATGTTATTGCAAATGACTGGATCTCATTCTTTTTTACGGCTGAATAGTACTCCATCGTGTATATACACCACATTTTCTGTATCCATTCGTCGGTAAATGGGCACTGAGGTTGCTTTGAAATCTTGGCTATTGTGTTGCAATAAACATGGGAGTGCAGCTCTCTCTTTGATATACTGATTTCCTTTCATATACTCAGCAGTGGGATTGCTGGATCGTATAGTGGGTCTATTTTCAGTTTTTTGAGGGACTTCCAAACTGTTCTCCATAGTGGCTATACTAATTCACATTTCCACCAACAGTGTACAAGCGTTCCCTTTTTTCCACATCCTCACCAGCATTTGTTATTGCCTGACTTTTGGATAAAAGCCTTTTTTTTAGTGGGGGAGGGGGGATGTAGTCTCGCTCTGTCACCCAGGCTGGAGTGTAGTGGTGCGATCTCGGCTCACTGCAACCTGCACCTCCTGGGTTCAAGTGATTCCCCTGCCACAGCCTCCCTAGTAGCTGGGACTACAGGCATGCACCACCACACCCAGCAAATTTTTTATTTTTATTTTTTGTAGAGGTGAGGTCTCACCACATTGCCCAAGCTGGTCTCAAATGCCTGGGCTCAAGCAATCCTCCTGCCTCAGCCTCCCAATGTGCTGGGATGACAGGTGTGAGCCACTGCACCTGGCTTTTTTTTTTTGCTTTTTAGTCAGGTTTTCTTCTCTCTTTAACTGTCACATATTTTGTTTTTGAAGGAGTGTGAACAACCGTGTGCTCCCATATAATTCCTGGAAGAAATCTCTGTTTTTAGAAGAAACAACTAAAACTGTATCTCTCCTTCCTATCACTGTACTTTGAGTTTTCATGAAAATCTGTGGTAAGGAGAAATTGTGTCTGAATACTTCTGCAACTAGACTAATAAAAGGTCCTGAGCCATGTGCAGTGGCTCACACCTATAATTCTAGCACTTTGGGAGGCCAAGGTGGGAGGACTGCTCGAACCCAGGAGTTGGAGACCAGCCTGAGCAACATAGAGAGACCCCGTCTCTATAAAGTATTAATAATTTTTAAAATTAGCTGGATGTGGTAGTGCGTGCCTGTAGTTCCAGCTGCTCTGGAGGCTGAGGCAGAAGGATCGCTTGAGCACAGGAGGCAGAGACTGCATTGAGCCATGATCACGCCACTGCATGCCAGCCTGGGTGACAGAGCGAGATCTGTCTCAAAAAAAAAAAAAAAAAAAAAAAGAAACTGTCCTGGAGGACATTATGTTAAGTGAAATAAAGCAGGCACAGGAGGATAAATTCTTCATGTTCTTACTCGTGTGGAAGCTAAAAAAAATTGATCTCATGAAGGTCAAAGTAGAGCAGTGGTTACTAGTGGCTAGGAAGGAAAGTGGGGAGGGTGACTAGAGGGGTTGGTTAATGGATACAAAATTACAGCTGGATAGGAGGAATAAATTCTAGTGTTCTATAGCACTATAGGGGCATAATAGTTAACAATTTATTGTGTATTTTGAAATACCTAGAAGAGAGAGTTTTGAATGTTTCCAACGCAAAGAAAGGATAAATGTTTGCGGTGATTTTTTTGGCTAATTACTCTGATTTGATCATTACACATTGTATGTATGTATCGAAATATCACACCACAGCCCATAAATTCTATGGGCTATGTTATTAGGTGCTCATTAAAAACAACTTTAGGTTGAGGTGGAAAGATCTCTTGAGCCCAGGAGTTTGAGGCTGCAGTAAGCTGGGATTCTGCCACTAAACTCTAGCCTGGGCAACAGGCTAGAGACCCTGTCTCAAAAAAATATGTTTTTAATTTTAAAAAAACAGCTAAGGCTGGGTGCCGTGGCTCATGCCTGTAATCCCAGCCCTTTGGGAGGCTGAGGTGGGCAGATCACTTGAGGTCAGGAGTTTGAGACCAGCCTGGCCAACATGGTAAAGCCCTGCCTCTACCAAAAGTTACAAAAATTAGCCAGGTATGGTGGCACATGCCTGTAGTCCCACTTACTCAGGAGGGTAAAGTGGGAGAACTGCTTGAACCTGGGACCAGAGATTGCAGTGAGCTGAGACTGAGTCACTGCACTCCAGCCTGGGTGACAGAGTGAGACCCCATCTCAAATAATACAAATTAAATTAAAAAACAGCTTTAAAAAGATATTGGGCTGGCAAGCAGGGAAAAAAAGGGGTGTCATAGATTCATTCATTCATTCTATAGCTCTTATGAAGGGTCCTCTTTGTTTCAGGCACTGTTTGGGTGATGGAGATTCAGAGAGAAGCACATGACGTATGATTCTTCAGGAGCTGCTGGGCTAGTGCCGGGATGATGGCAAACATATAAAACCTCGGCAGGGGAGACAACGCGGGAGCTGTGTCTTTAGTGATGGCAGGGAGTAAGGAAAGGGCATTCAAGGGCCTGGTGCCTCCAGAGACAAGGAAGGGAGACCAGGGCATATGGAGGGCCTGGAGAGGCTTAGGTCAGAGCTAAGACCAGAGGTACGGTGAGGCTATGGTGTGGAAGGCCTTGAACACCAACCTAGGGGGATTTGACTTGATGTAGAAGGCAACTGGGAGTCACGTCGTTTCTAAGTCAGGGAATGAACATGCTCCGATTGCTATGGAAGATTTTTCCAAGCAGCGCTATTGAAAAGAGCGGTAGAGCTTGGATGCAGGGAGACACAGCATCTGGAGGCTGCTGCAGCCCTTGGCATGTATACAGCTGGCACTCACCTCTGCCCCTCCTTTGTTTCCTCCTACCTTTCCTGATTTTCCTCTATCTCCTTCCTCTTCTTTACCTACTGCCCTCACTTTCTTCACCAGTTACTTTCTCCTCCATCCTTTCTTCCAGAAAGGGACAGAAGCTCTAATCGTGGACAGACTAGAACAGATCCTTTTGCCTCCTTTAGTATTTCTACTTCGAGTAAAAATGTCCAGTGAGAGTGTACTTCCGGAATATATTATCCTTATCAATCAAAGAACTAATGAACTTTGGCAATAAACTATCTGGTGATGTACTTGTGGGGAAAGCCTGAACACATTTAAGGAGTTTGGCGAGCAGTGCAGTTTCAAGGTGATCCTATTTATAGAATGGAGGCACCTTGCAGCTCCTAAATGAACACATACTTCCAATCTGCTGTGGCATCATTCCAGTTCCTCTAGAATTTTCCTTGGCATCACCCGCAAGCCCCAACTTGTCCTATGGGGACAAGACACAGACTCACCAACTGTGAAATTCTGAAAGGCAGCTGATCTGCAATACTCACTGTGGCACCAACCTGCTGGTTTGAACAAGTATGAAAACCTTTTAGCAGAATACCAAGCAACAGGAAGTGAAAATTACCCTCACAGTGACTTAAAAAATAAAATAAAATAAAATCCAGCCAAACACGACTCTAAAGCAAACTAGCTAGCAAGAATAGCCAGTGTATCCCAAAAGCAAGGGGCTTTGCTTTTGTGAACCCGGAATAGAAAGTACAAACTAATGGTTTGGCCTGAGTCTTTTTCAGACATACCCAGGTATACAGATAGTGATCGTGATAGTAATAAAATGAGGGTCTTTAAGGATTTCTTTCCTTTTTTTTTTTTTGAGACAGTCTTTCTCTGTCACCCAGGCTGGAGTGCAGTAGTGCGATCTCGGCTCACTGTAAGCTCCACTTCCTGGGTTCACGCCATTCTCCTGCCTCAGCCTCCCAAGCAGCTGGGACTACAGGTGGCCACCACCACTCCCGGCTAATTTTTTGTATCTTTGGTAGAGACAGGTTTTCACCATGTTAGCCAGGATGGTCTCGATCTCCTGACCTTGTGATCCACCTGCCTCAGCCTCCCAAAGTGCTGGGATTACAGGCATGAGCCACTGTGCCCGGCCTAAGGATTTCTTTTGGTCTTTGTTTTTCTGTATGTTGATTAGTTATTACTGCATAATAAAACACTCTAGGCTGGGCACAGTGGCTCACACCTATAATCCCAGCACTTTGGGAGGCCGAGGAGGGTGGATCACTTGAGGTCAGGAGTTCAAGACCAGGCTGGCCAATACAGCAAAACCCCGTCTCTACTAAAAATACAAAAATTAGCCAGCGTGGTGGTGGGCACCTGTAATCCCAGCTACTCGGGGGGCTGAGGCAGGAGAATCTCTTGAACCTGGGAAGCAGAGGTTGCAGTGAGCCAAGATCGTGCCATGGCACTCCAGCCTGGGCAACAAGAGTGAAACTCTGTCTCAAACAAAAACAAAACAAACAAACAAAAAACGTGGTTAGAATAGTACATTTTATGTTGTATGTATTTTACCAAAATTAAAAAAGAAGTCAAAATAGTTTAAATAAAACAAGAACAATTATATGACTATAGTCTTACATCTGTAGTAGGAATGGGCCAAGCAGAATACAAAATTCCCAAAGGCCTTTTAAAATACACTGGTGAGATACTACTTAGCCCAGGGCCTGGTGGCTAGGCTGGTTCTCTCCTTTCCAATTAGAGGTCTCTGCCACTAACATGCTCCACCAGATCATCGGTCAGGCTAAGAAGCATCCAAGCTTGATCCCCCTCTTAGTATTTATTGGAGCTGGAGGTACTGGAGCAGGACTGTATGTCTTGCGTCTGGCATTGTTCAATCCGGATGTTAGTTGGGACAGAAAGAATCACCCAGATCCCTGGAACAAACTGGGTCCCGATGATCAATACAAGTTCTACTCAATGAATGTGGATCACAGCAAACTGAAGAACGAAGGTCCAGACTTCTAAATGAAATGTTTCACTACAAAGCTGCTTTAGACCGAAGGTCTTCCAGAATTCATCCGCACAATTTTCCACTTCACTAGGAAATATTTCTCCTCTAAATGAATGAAATCATGTTGATGTAACCTATTGGAGATTACACTGATTAATAAATAACTGAAACTTGAAAAAATAATACACTGGAAGTCATTCTACAGTGATCCCATCCACCAAATAAACTTCAGATATAAGACTCTGGAAGATGCCACTTGGTTCCAGTTCTCCAAACTCTGGAATTAAGCCAGGGAAAGAAGTAAAAATGTTTAGAAACATAGTGTTTCTATACAGGACGGTAGGATTTAGGAAGGCCCAGGGTCATCTGTAAACTTTTCCCTCCTTCCAAAGATTAATGCTGTAAAACATTTGTATTAAATAATACTTCAGTACTGTACCGACGTCTGGACCAACTTCTTTCTGTTCTGGGGAACAGATGTTCCCTGTTTATCATTGTCTTCTAGTGTTTCACTGGTTTTTGATGCCCTCATTTTATTTCTCCAGGATTATTTGTTTTCTTATTCTTTTTTAGAGCAGTTCTTAGTCAAAACTTCTTGAAAATTCAAATAAATATGTTTGCTGAGTTTCCTTTGCCTTAAGTTTTAAAAACTCTTTTAGAGAACCCTTCTGGCAGGTTACAGTGGCTGATCTGATTGATAAGCTTGCTCCTGGCCAGTTTCCTGTTGGTTACCCGACCCAGCTACGGGTTCTCCAACAACCCATGTTCGTAGAGGTGGGCTGCAGGAACCTCACTCATCTGTATTTGCTTTTATCCTAAAGTTTCACAGAGGTGACATATGACATTTTGCCTCACAAAGAGTTGCAATTGTTAAAGGCAATATTGTATTTCCTTTTGTGTTTTGGCCCCATTTGCCCTTCTTACAGAATTTTAGTTGTGTCAACGCCAAACAGCTGATGGACTTTGAAATCACTCTGCAATTTTCATCTTTTGATACTTCTAGCTCATTGCGTTTTAAAAACTTAGTCTCCCTTGGGGAAAAAAGCCATAGAATGCTCCTAGTATCTTCTGCAAATAAAGGACCTACACCAAAAAATTCAGGCTCTTTAAAGTCTCATATTCCTCACTGAGCGGGTTCTGACGACTCTCTTTGCAAAACCACCGCACAGACTTCTGGTGGCCTGGCAGCACCTTTGAACAAGATCATCTCAGCAAAGCAAAGGACAGGGCTGCTCTGTACAGAATGCAATAGCAAATAAGAAAGGCTGAACTTCACCGGCCTTCTATTTGGCAATACTACAGAGTGCCTCCCTTCCCTGTTCTGAGAGAAACAGAGGACGATTTCAGCACAGAAGGCCGTGCGCGTTCGCTTGGAAATCTAGGTCACAACCTTGACTTTGGGAAAACCAGGGTGGCCTACCTGAAACTGTCCAATCCCCCGGCATCGTGGACACGTCCCCATGTCCCTCAAGATGTCTGTTCTGGTCTGAGCCGTCCGTAGTGTCCAGGAAAAGCACGGGTAGCTCAAGAATTTCTCTGTCAAGAGTTTTAGTGCTGCAAGCCTGGTTGGGACAGGGCGGTGGGAGGGTTTGAAATACTGTTTTGACTTTGAATTTGATTTTATAATGTATTAGATGGATAGATGCGAAATGGATTGTTAACATGTATGTGGAGGGGCGGGAAGAGCTTCTGGAAAGCCTCAGCCCTGAGTGCCTACTCCTGAGTGGGAAAATCCCCTGCACGGGTTGGGAGCGCTCCCTAAGTCGTCCGGAAGTAAAATCGCATGGCCTGTGTTCCAAAAATGCCGCCACTCAGGATGTCAAGTCTGCAGGTTTTCAGCCTTGAGAGCCCAGCCCCAGGTAGAGGCACCGCGCAGGCCTGGATATACAGGACTCGCCCTGCGCAGGGCTGGCCACGGTGGGCAGGGTTGGAGCTGGCGGGGCGGGGCGGGGTAGGGCGGGGCCAGCTGGGAGGGGCGGGGCGGGGTTAGAGGGCGGGATTGAGGCCGGCCGGGCGGGGAGAGGCGGGGCTGGAGGGGAGGGGTCTCAGAGGTGGGCGGGGTTAGAGAGCTGGATTGGAGCCGGCAGGACGGGGAGAGGCGGGGTTGAGGGGAGGGACGAAGAGGTGGGCGGGGTTCAAGAGCGGGATTGAAGCCCGTGGGGCAGGGCGGGGCAGGCGGGGCGGGGCGCAGCGCCAGGGCTACGACTCCAAGCAGTACGGCGGGCGGCACTAGAGGGAGCTGCGGCCGCGCCCGCCCCGCCGCGCGGGCCCGGCCCCGAGCGCCGCCTCCCCAGCCAGCGCCGCCGCGATGGCGGAGGACAGCGAGTCTGCGGCCAGCCAGCAGAGCCTGGAACTGGACGACCAGGACACGTGCGGGATAGACGGAGACAATGAGGAGGAGATGGAGCACGCCAAAGGGTAGGGGCGGCGCGCGGGCGCACCGGGAGCTACAGGGCGGGGACCGCGCGCGCCAGGGTCTCTCGCTCGGGGGCTGGCTCCCAGGAATGGGGGCTCTTCGGCCGCTCCGCCCCGCGATGGCTTCTCCGCGGCGCGGAGCCCGTGGTGAGGTCCGGGGCTCGCGGGAGAGGACAGTGCGCGGGGAGGCGAGGCCCGGGGTGGGCGGGGAGGCTGGGGCCCGGGCGGGGACCGGCGACGCTACTGTCACCTGCCGTGCGCCCCCGGCCGGCCTCGCCCATCCCCGCCGGCGGCCTGGCCCAGGAGGCGCGTGTTGCCCTCGCCCGCGGGTGGCTCCGGTGGGCTCCGAGGGAGAGGCGCGACGCCCTGCCCTTTGTGGCGGCCGTAGCCTGGGGTAGGAGGTCGCCCCTTCTGCCCCCTGCCATCCTTGTTAAGTCCCTTCAGACCCCCTCTCCACGGCCGCCACCCAAAAAGACGTGGGTGGAGCGGCATGGAGGTGCCCCTGGTGGTGTCGGGGCTGCGGGCGGCGAACTGCGCAAAGTTCTGGCGCGGAGGGGGTCCCGGGCCCGGCCCCTGCTGGGGATACTGGGCTTTGCACCGCCTCGCGTGTCCCTACAGCTTTTCAGAGCAGGGCCGATCCCCTGAGCCGGGCTCTCGCTGACCTGGCCGCATCCCGTTTGCAAAGCTAGTATTTGATCTCCAAAACTCGATGCACCAAGCATTTTCACACTTGATCGGGTTTCTTAATCCTTTGCCTTTGCCCCCGAACCCTACAGACTTGATTTGCTCTTCTGTTGGAGAAAAGGATTGCTTCAGGTGAAGGCCGGTGTTGATGCTCTCTTTTTAGAGGCAGTGGGTCATTTTACATAAAAACTGGTGTCCTTTTAAAGTGCTGTTTGCATTACCCTTTTACCCTATTGGATTCAAACTATGCGCTGGCACAGAGCGGTTCTTGCTACACCCTTAGAAGTGAGATTTTTCGAACCATGGTGAGTGATGGAGAAGTGGGTCAGCTTAAAAAACATGATAGGGAGGCCTGAGTCACAGATGGTTTACTCAGTTCGTAGAGAGATTCTTGAAATGATTGATCATTGAAAGTGTAAATCATTTGCATTCTACTTGTTTACTTTAAGATTTATTAAAGAAAGGGACTTTTTACTGACCTCTAATTCATTATAAAATATTAACAAGAAATCAAGGAAAAGAAAAGCTGACTATGTGCATCTCCCATTTGCAGGTTGTTTTTATTTTTGCCGTGAATACTTCAGTGGCGGCTGCAAGTATCGAATGTTCGAGTCTAGAATATTTTTTTTTTTTAAAGAGAGGAAAGGAAATTGCGCAGAAATCTGAACCTGAACTCTGTTTATGCAGGGATAGAAACGTACTTGTAATAGATAGCTAAATACAAATATGTTTTTGAAACGGTAGTTCTAGTGCCAGAAATGGGCCCAGGTGCAGATGCAAAGCTGACGGATTAACTTAAGTACCTGTATTGTCTTTCTGGAGAGACCCTGGATTTTTATCTTCTCTGCTGTAATTCCTGTTTATTGTTCCTCCTTTGATTGATATTCTGGGTTGGGGGCTTGATTAGGACTTCTTTGCCTACACTGTTGAGAATGTCCCTGGTACAAAGAATTCCTCATCTGTGTGCCCATTGATCTGAGCCTGTCCCCTGACACCTTTCAAGCAGCTAAAGTTCCCAGAGTAGCACCCAGAGGCATCTCTGCTGCCTTCAGAAGTTTTCAGTTTTGTATATCAGCACATTCATTATATGTTAGAAAGTTTATCAAAATTTAGAGATGCCGCGTGTACTGAAATGTTTAAACCAAGAGCAGATACCATGTTAATAGCTTCTAGTGGGAAAAGATTAACATAATAGATGTATTGTACTCTATTTAAATGTAAGGAGATTAGGAAAACTCCAAATGACTGCTCTCCTTGGATTGCCTGTTTGGATTTGAATTTAGACAATGTGTGCCAAATTTGGGGGAGTAAATGTGTTTTATTTGGCTCATGTACTGACGATATCGCAGTAGAAACCTAGGTTTTCTTTAAGTAGCTCAAGTTTGTAAATGTTAAAATTTCAAAGACTCTTTTTCTATCCTTGGCCTCTTCATTCCCATCAGTTTAAATAAATAACAAATAATTAGCCTTTGGATGAATCAGTAAGAACATGTTTCACCTTTTAAAGGCAGTTTGTCAATTTGAGGCCACCAGGCAGCGGCCAGTGCAGAGCGGTAATTTACTGAATAGTACCCTTGTGGCCTGAAAGAATTCATTTACCCCACCACTCAGTATAATGTATTTACTAGTCGTTTTAGACATACTAAATTGAAACTAGAGCCTCAAATAAAAGGAAAATACCCAATTAGAGTCTTGTTGTGCTCCAGAATGTAAGTATGTAAATATATAAAACTGCATATGCTTTTATTTTATTTTCATGGAATTTTCTTCATGGACTAAAAAGGGTATTTCGTTTTATAAATAATGCTAAGAGTCCATGAATGAAATATCAGATGTTTTATGCTTAATTAAAAGCAATGGTGTAACTGTTATAAAATGCTTGTCTCACTGTCTTTATATCTTGTTTTTCATGGAAAATGTACTCTTTTTTTTTTTTTTTTTTTTTTTTTTGACGGAGTCTTGCTCTGTCACCCAGACTGGAGTGGTGCAATCTCAGCTCACTACAACCTCCGCCTCCTAGATTCAAGCAATTCTCCTGTCTCAGCCTCCTGAGTAGCTGGGATTACAGGCGCGTGCCACCACGCCCAGCTAATTTTTGTATTTTTAGTAGAGATGCGGTTTCACTATGTTGGTCAGGCTGGTCTGGAACTCCTGACCTCAGGTGATCTGCCTGCCTCGGCCTCCCGAAGTGCTGGGATTACAGGTGTGAGCCAGTGTAAAGAGTTAAATGTACTCTTTAACTTTTTGGTCCACCCAAGCATGAAAGTGGCAAACCACGATAACAATTTCATGAATTACAAAGAACATGGGGGAAGGAGGGATTGTCAGTTTTAATGAGACTATATTCAGACAAGTATAATTTTATTATTTTCAAACACTGTGCGGCAATTAGAATCAGGCTAATAGAGAATTGCCTAAAGAGATCTTTATAAACTTGCTTTAACACATGATTTGCAATTAGAATTAGGGAGTGGGTCTTTATACAGAGTTTGAAGGAGCCTGGAAAGACTTTCTACATAGATAAAAATTAACCTCAGTCCAGCTATATGAATTATTAGAAATAGTCCTGATTACTGAAAATTTCTGTTCTGCTATGGGTGGCAGTGGTACGAAAGAGGTGACGTGGAGGATTTTTTTTTTTTTTTTTTTTTTTTGAGATGGAGTTTTGCTCTTGTCGCCCAGGCTGGAGTGCAATGGTGCAATCTTGGTGCACTGCAATCTCCGCCTCCTGGGTTCAAGCAATTCTCCTGCCTCAGCCTCCCGAGTAGCTGGGATTAGAGGCATGCATCACCATACCCAGCTAATTTTGTGTTTTTAGTAGAGACGGGGTTTTACCATGTTGGTCAGGCTGTTCTCAAACTCCTGACCTCAGGTGATCCCCCAGCCTTGGCCTCCCAAAGTGCTGAGATTACAGGCGTGCGCTACCACACCCGGCTAATTTTGTATTTTTAGTAGAGATGGGTTTTTACCATGTTGGTCAGGCTGGTCTTGAACTCCTGACCTCAAGTGATCCACCCACCTTGGCCTCCCAAAGTGCTGGGATTACAGGCCATGGCACCCGGCCTGGAGGATGAATTTCCTGGGAGCTTTCACGGTTGGATCTGAGGTTAAGATGCTCAAGGATCTTTAATACTTCCCTCATTTTGCTGTGTTCTTGCCTTCTGTTACTTTCTTCTGAAGGGCTTTGGGGACATTGAGGACAGGGCAAATTGTTGAAGAATCGTTTGGAACCCACTGTCTTCTTCTCGCTGTCCTTTTGGTGTCGGGCTTCTCTGTTTATGAAATACATTTGGTATTAATCATGATCTCTTACTGAGCTAATGTTTTTGTCCATTGTTGGAGATGGAGTCAAATAAAATTCGTGTTGAACTTTGGTAACAAAACCAAATCTCTCCCCTTGCTTTACCAACATTGA